CAGGGCCATGAAGGGACCACAGCACATGATGCGACTGAAATACCCCATACACGGTCTTTCCAGTGTGTCACTGTGCAGTTAGGGGTGCACTTATGAAAAATTAGGGTTTTGAGGGGGTGAAATGTTTGTAAATGGGCTCTGAGCTACATCCAGCGAGTACACAGGGAAGCCTCCCAGCCTGCCGGCCACCTCCCTGTCCCCATCTACATGGTCCCCTCCTGCTGCTCCCTGGGCTCCAGACGCTGACATCAAACCTGGTGGATGCCCCATCTGGGAGACCCAGCCCCGGATGTGGGGCTGCTCCTGGTTCTGCACCGCTGTTCTCCTGGGCTGGACCTATGAGGACCCTGGGCCCACCCAGATAACCCAGGACGTCCTCTCATCTCAAGATCCTCAGTGTAGTCACATTTTTGAAGTCCCATATTTGGTGTCTGGGAACTAGGGTGAGGACACCTTTGGGGGTGGCATCCACCACAGAGTGGGGGTGCATCTGGTAAGCAGCCGAGCAGCACCCCAGACAGGTCGGGGAGAGACCTGCCTGACTCCCTCTGGTCTCCCCCCTCCCCACCGCCAGGGCAGGGCCCGGCGCTGCAGGCGGCCACAGGTAGGCTCTGAAGCAGAGAAATACGAAGCAGCGAGAGGACTGTGGGTACCCACAGGAAGCACAGCCCGCAGGGTCCTGTGTGATGGACACAGGCCAGCGGGAAAGTGTCGACACACTCGGCTGCCTCCTTTCTGAGCACAGCGACCTGCCTGGCACACAGGGACCTCCCACACGTTATTCTAGTCTACTCCTGTCACCCGGCGAGGTCCACCCAACTAACTTGCTCACAAAGGAGAAAATGGAGGTGCAACCGCAGGCCTGTGGGTCCCTGGGACCTGGGGGGAGCACCCTTGTCTGAGGAAGCCTATCCCTGGAGGGGTTGGTGGGGGGTCTCTGTGACTGGGACGTGTGGAGGACCCACCCTCCTTCACCCCGGTGCCACCTGGGTGTGCTTTGCTGATCCCACCTGAGAGCAGGCCCAGGAACTGTCACCTGCCGCAGTGTCTCTCCCCCTGGCCCAGGGTGAATTTGCATCTCTACTGGACACACACCTGGCCGCTCGGGCCGCGCCCTGCTCACCCCTGCTATCCCCAGTTCACGACGGAGACAGGACAGTTTATGATCAAATTACCATGTGGAGCAATAACCACACCGGCCCAGAAGGAAGCCCAGGTGTGTGGTAAATGGGAACATGGGCCCCTTCCCATGCTCCAGCTCCCCTTGCACCCTGCGGGGACAGATGAAGGCCATCGGCAAGAGACGGTGAGACCCTGGGAGCCTGGCCAGCTCCTCAGTCAAGAAAACAGCCTTTTGATCTCACACAGCTTGTGCTCGGGGGACATCCCCCACCCCGTGTGCCTTGTTCTCTGTACCCTATAAAATCTTGTGCTGGGAAAGTCTAGATAGCGGCGAAACTGGCCAGCCGCCCCCCAGTATGGCCCCTCTGCAGACCCCGTGGGACTTAGCAGCTCAGCTTCATGGGTGGCAGCCAGTGCAGCAGGAAACATCACCGGTCTGCTGCCTCCAGTGCACACTTAAGTCATGATAAACCCGTCCTCACGGCCAGTTCTTTCTTTGAAATCCAAGAACAATATGCTGAGGTTTTCTGGGACCTCAGCAGCTTTCATAGCACCAGGACATCTGCAAAGAGCAGGACCCCATGCTCACACCCAGCAGGACCCAAGCAGCTGGCTTTTGGTGGAGGGAATGAGAGGAGGCCTCCCTTCCTGATGACCAGCGGGTGCTCCTGCCTCCATACTGACATTCGCGGCCGTCCTGTGCGTACGGGGTGCCCGCCAGCATCCCGGCCCCCACACTGGATGCTCAAGGAACTCATTAGTAGTGACAACCAGAAATGTCCCCGGGCACTGTAAATGTCCCCTTGGGGGAGTGAAAATTCCTGGGGTTGACAACCACCGAGCTAAAGACAGAGCAGGATCCCATATGTTAGCACCAAAAAAAACCCCCAAACGAAACAAAACAAAACCAAAGGACAAGCAGTTATTTTTAGATGAGTCTTCATCACTTACCTAACCAGGGCCCTGCACACAGTCTGTCCGGGCCTCACTTCTCATCCGGGTGCACGACCAGCACTCCTGCAGGTGCCAGGCTTTCTGGGTTGCTTCTCCGGTTACTGTCCCGTCACTTCCCGGGTCCCCAGGCTCTGCGCCCACCCACGGTATCCTAGGAGCCAGGGAAAGCCCAGGCGGGGACAGAGCAGAGGCACATGCCCACCTTCATCTCAGCTGCCCTCCCCACCCTCGGCCTGCACACAAACCCCCATGCTCTGGGCTCCTGCCTTCAGCCATCGAGCAGCATCCTGGGGCAGAAGATGGCATCTCTGTTCCCCTCACAAAGGCAGCTATGCCAGGCCTGGTGCTCACTCTCCCTGCAGGGGGCTCTTTGGAGCAGAATTAGACACCCCCAGATCTCAGAAGCAGACAGTCTGGTGCAAAATTTCCAGCCAGCAAACCACTCCCCCGTGCGCTGAGTGCTCAGTTGTCCCTGCGATTTAAATCAAGCTGCAGGAGCTTGGGGTTGCACAAGATCCCTGATTTCTGTGAGCACTTTCTATGTTTGCTTCGGCCCCTGTCTGGGCTCCAGAGATCATGGTTATGCAACCTGGCCAAGCCCCCAGTCGCCAGCAAAGGGCCCACGGCTTACCCTTCATTCCGTCATCCCAATTCTGGCAGGTTCCGCTGATGGACGTGGGCTGACTCCAGTTCCTCTTGCTGTCTCGGGAATGGACGGTCAGCGCTCCTGACCACAGTGGTCCCCACCGGCCACCTGCCTGGGAACCACCCGGGGATGCACACCCCAGTGCCCAGCAGCTGCCACTCCCTGGCAGAGTCGCCTTGGGCAAGACACCGGAACTCCGAGACCCGGTGTCCTCATCTGTGAAATGGGGAGACGAGGCACCCACCCCACAGGGTTGTCCTGGAAAAGCCAGCTGATATGTCTTCCTTGCCCTTCCCAGGCAGGTGTGGAGGCGGCTGTGGGGAGGGGATGCCGGAGTGGCAGGAGTCCCGGTCCCTCCAATGCTCACAGTCACCTTTGATTTACAGGTGACAGAGATGATGGGATCCCATTTCCTGCCCACTCCGCACGTCCTTGTTAGGAGCAAATGGAAGTGGCACCCAGTTCAGGCCCCGATGGCAGGGAGGTGTGTGACCCCACCTCCAAGCACCCGGGTGGCACTTTCGCGCAATAGAGAGGCTACAGAGAAACCCCTGGGCCTTCATCCCAACAATAGCTGCCAGGTACCCAGAACACTCCGAACTGCTTCTCAAGGGTTAATTCTTCCCACACTCATTGGACAGAGTCCCAGGGAGCAACCGAAGCCAGACCAAGGGCCCTGCCAGCTGCCTCCTGTCTTTTCCGCCCGAATAAACATGGTCCGAACAGGCCCTGCAGGGAGGGGCAAGGAGCCTGGAGGACTGTGTGTGACGTGTGCCTGTGCGTGCACGTTCATGTGCTGTGTGCACGCATGTGAGTGTACATGTGTGCAGGGGTGTGAGCATGTGTGATCATCTGTGTGCCAGTGTGTGTGTGCATACGAGTGTGCAGGGGTGGGGAGAGTGTGGAGAAGTGACTCTCACCGGGACCAGCAGGGCCTGCGCCTAAATTAGAACCGTTCTGCTGGGTGTGGACGGGCATTTACTTTCAAATAGCGAAGTGCCTGGAAACCGTCCAGGAGAATGGTACATAATCGCTCGCTCGTTTTCCTAGGACAGTCACTCCGTTTTTAAGAGCGAGACTAAGGAAGTGGCTGCAGCCCCCACACACGGTGCTCCCTCCACACCGCGCCCGATGCCTGACGGACGGGCCACGTCACGGCAGTGTCTCCACTGCTCAGCCCTTCACCATCAGAAATCCATCTGCATGAAGCACTTCCACCCACGTAAGGCCTGGAGGCCACAGCCCCGCAAGGTCAGCAGGGCTTCAACTGTGGCCATTTTACAGATGAAAAAACGGGGGCCACGAATTATCCCTCCTTCCCCAGGACTAAGGAATTCTCATCTAACCCAATTTACAACAATAATGATTTACAGAAAAAGATACTTTAGGACGTGATACAGAAAATCAAATAAGATGGCTCCATTTGCAAAAATCCATTTCCATCAGCTCCTCAGAGCCAATGTGGACCCGCCCACTCAGACCTGGGCCCCTCAGACCTGGGCCCCGCTGGGTGTGAGGGGCAGAGCTTGGCCTGGCATCGCCCAGGGCAGGAGGGGAGCCAGTGAGCCAGGCCACGGTGGCACGGGCCACAGCAACACAGTCCTCCGTGGATGAGCATGTCTCTGAGCCACTGGGCAGAGGCTTCAATGAGGCCCAGCTCACTGCGCCTCCTGCTGCCAGGAAGGGCCCGGGCTCTGCACAGGCTCCAGGCGAATGAAGGGACACTGCAGCCCCAGAGGGACGCTATTGGTAGCACGGGCTCGGCAGGACTCGACACGCGTGCAGGTGGCGAGCCGCTGCTCCCTGAACGCAGGTCTCCGCACTCAGCGCGCAGGTTCCTGACTCCCGCTCATTTATGCCGCAATGTCTTACTTGAGATCGTGACGCAGACCAGGAGACCCGCCGAGTGCCTCGGGCTAGGTAAAGAACATCCGAGCTGCTGGATGCCACCAGCGAACCACCGGCAGTGCCGCTGTTCTCATCAGGGGCTCGCTCCACGCCAAGGCCCCCTTCTCTACTTTATATTCAACCCACTCGTCTCGTGGCGCCACCCAGAACAAACGCTGCTGAGGACACGAGTCTCCAAAGCGTCTCGGCTCCACTTCAGATTCCAAGCACGTGTCCCCCACACTGTGGGACTGTCTCTGGATTTACCGAAAACTCCCAAACCAGTCAGCGGCAACTCCGGGTTTGAAAGGACTCCAGGCCACCCCTTCCTCTCCAGAATTCGACTGCCCCTTTGTGTTTTTTCGGGGGGGGGGGACTCATAACATTGCAGTTTTAAATAAAAAGACTTTATTTATGAGATACGATAGCAGCCAACAGTTTAGGACAGCCGGGGGGGAGTTCCTGTCACGTGAGGGCAAGACAAGCACCTTGGAGAATATTTGGCTGAGTCACAAAATTAGCATTTTTAGTCACCTGTAAAGTGCTAAGAAAGCTATTTCTGGTGAGTGCTGGGTGAGTTCTGTCACCACCAGGAAGCAGAGCTGAGTTCACGGCGAGTGCAGGGATGCACTGGCCCCTTGCGACTGCAACACCCCCGCTGGCTGCAGGCGGCAGAAACAAACTTGTGCAATGGCAGGCCCTTGGGTGGGGGGGCCTCTCTGTGCCTGTCCCACTCCCAGGAATGGCACAGCCACAGGCCCCGGGACCAGGAGTCACTCAGCACGCACCCTAGAAACAGCGTTCACGTCAACAGGTGCCAGAAACAGCATCAAGGAGTCAACGCACACTCGCTACGCATTTCCTGCGAGACGGAGACGTGTCCCGTCCATGCTACTGACGGGGAGAAAATCTGGCGTCGACGCCAGAGTCTGAATGTTGACAGGCACTGAGCATTTTGGTTCAAAGCAAACATTATTTATGAAATGTTACAGTTAATATATTCACTAAAGCATTAGCTGTTAATTTTTAATAGAAAAAATGCAATATAAAAATACTACTTTGTTAAAATATACAATACGCACATCGTCTCACTTTGGAAAACCCAGCTCACGTCAGAAAGCGAGAAACACCCTTGGACTGGTCCCTGTTACCTGCCTTTCTTCATGTCACAAATTCTACTCTGGAATTTAAAAGACATACAATATAAATAAAAGTAGTGAATCCGAATCCAGAAAGTTATTTTAAGAATTGTTAATAAATCCCTACGCCACTGAAGATGCTGTATTTTCCCGAGAGCTCTTAGCTCGCCAAGTCCCTAAGTGGCAGAGTGGCAGGCCCGGCAGGAGGCCTGGAGGGTCGAGCGCTGGCCCGGGCTGCGGGTGGGAGGAGGCCTGGAGGGCTCAGCGCTGGCCCGGGCTGCGGGTGGGAGGAGGCCTGGAGGGTCGAGCGCTGGCGCTGGGCCGCGGTGGGCGGACCCCCAGAACCGCCCCTCGCGCAGCTGCTCCTCTCCGGCCTTCCCCACAAGCGTCGGCCCGGCTCTCGGCGTGAAGGAGGACGCCGGGCAGGGAACGCCACCGTCACGATATTGCACATTTCTTCCCCGAAGGCTGTTGTAAGTTGTCCCCGACCAGTGCGGACGGGGCCGGCCGTCACACGTGCGGCAGGGGGATCTGCCAGACCATGATGGAGGAGGCCAGCTCCTCGGGCCGCTGCTGCCGCGGCCGCCTGCCCACGCGCCGGTGACCCTGGCCTCCGCAGGCCACCAGCACCGAGCTGACCCTGGCCCTCCTGGCTCGCCGCCCTGGCCCGGGCGCGGTGCCCGGGTGCCGCAGGAGGTCGTAGATGATGCTGTCCTCGGACCTGTGCTCCAGGGACCCCGACGACGAAGACAAGTCGCTCTTGTGCGTCATAGAACCCAGCGAACCCCCCAGCCAGACGGCGTCGGGACTGCTGGGGCTCAGGCAGGGCCCGGCGCCCTCGCTGGGGGCCGCATCCTTCGGGTCCTCAGCCTGGGGGTCCGAGCCGGGGGGCGGGCTGTCCTGGGGCTTGTCCTTGTCTGCCTTGGGGACCCCAGTGGCCACGACCAGGAACTTGACAGGCCCGCTGTGGGCATGGTAGGAGACCATGCCCCTCCCTGCAGGGAGAGAGGGCTCAGCTGTCGCCTGTGTGGGGCAGGGACATGGAAGCCACACGGGGTCCACCCGACCGTCTCCCACGTCCCAGTGACAAAATCCTGCAAAAACCCTAAAACCTGAATGACAGTCAAAATAAAAACAGCTTCTGAATTATATTCTCGTGGGCTTTTAGTTAATGCAAAGAAAGCTTTCAAAACGATGGTCTCGAATACAGCCTCAGCTCTAACACGGTCACGGTTCCTTCCCGGGCTCTGCACAGTGCCTTCTCCCTGCTCGAAGGAAACGCACTTTCCCTAAGTCTTGATTAAAAATTATGCATCTGAAATGTGTCAGTTTTAGCAACAAGGTGCCTAAACTTCCTGCCATTTTTCATAATGAAAAGGTTTTTGGGCTTAGGACACACTAATTCTAAGGTTTTATTTATTTTTTTAAATATGTCTTTATTGATTTCAGAGACAGGAAAGGAGAGGGAGAGAGAGAGAAACATCAATGATGACAGAGTCATTGGTTGAGCCCGCAACCTGGGCATGTGCCCTGACCAGGAATCGAACCCTGATCGCCTGGATCCTAGGTCGACGCTCAACCACTGAGCCACGCCCGGCCGGGCTAAGGTTTTAATTCTATGGGGACTCTTCAGTTTAAAGTGATGAGATTCATGTTCTCGGTCTTTCTGTGAAACACAGGCCCTGAACACTGACTTCCTAAGGCGGGTGGGTGCAGGTCCCCACAGTCCTGGAGGCGTCACAGGTGAGGTGGCTAAGCCCAGGAAGCACATCCCTGCCCAGCACGCACCCTTGGCTGAGATAGGCTCACGGGCCTCACCTACGTCCCACGTTGGCCAAAGCCGACGACTAACTACAGGGTCCTTGGCCGTGGAGAGATGTGATTCCTCATGGGACAGCTGGGAAATTCAGAACTCCCATACAGCGGGGCACGGGGGACGTGGTCGGGTGATGGCTGTGGGACAGACCTGACAGCCGGGGAAGGCACCTGAGCCTCACCTGGTGACTGAGCACAGGTATTCCCTCCTCACCAGCGACACCACGCCCAACAGACACCCCTGGGGAACTGTGCCCACCCGAGAAGAGACACCACACCTACCACAGCACCTGGGGACGACTCAGCGGGTGGAGCACAGGATGCTGCCCAGCACAGACCGTGGACCAGCCACGTGCACAAGGACGCAGCTCAGAAATCAGGCTGCAACTTGTATGAGGCAGTGTCAGAAAATGCAAATACAGGCAACATTAAAACCTGCCTCAAGCCCGGCTGGCGTGGCTGAGCATCCCAGAGGCAGCCAGTTCGATGCCCGGTCAGGGCACACGCCAGGTTGCGGGCTCGATCCCCAGCAGGGGGCGTGCAGGAGGCAGCCGATCGACGTTTCTCTCTCATCAATGTTTCTCTCTCTCCCTCTCCCTCCCACTCTCTCTAAAAATCAATAAAAACATATTTTTTTAAGGAAAAAAAAAGCTTGTTTCAAGGCACAAATAGAGCAAATTGGTGGACAGACCGAAATCGAGAGCAGCTGTGTGGCTGCAGGGACGGAGCACCGGGCAGGGCTGAGGTCAGCGGGGACCCCCTGCCCCAACGCGGGGTGCAGGCGGCTGTCTCAGCACCGAGTGCGCTGTGCACATGGGCACAAGTCGTGTACGAATAATGTGTAGATCGTAAGAAATGAGTGAACGAGACTGAGGTCCTTCATGCCGACATGTGGTCGTGCCTGCTGAGAACTCACCTAAATCACAGACCTCTTTACAACAGGCCCGTTCAAGCTGGGCAGGGACAGAAAGGGGTGCCTGGGTGACAGCTAAGCATTCAAGGTCGACATTAGCAAGAGACTCTAGAAATAGGCCCTTTCTGCACATTTTGGTGAGTTTTCTACAAATATGTTTTCCCTGAGATTTTTTTTTTTTTCCTGAATGGCCAATATTACATAAAATTTAAGATCTTGGTCTCACTTAACCTATATAATTAACATTTTTCTGTGATTCACGCCTCTCCACACCCATTATTGTTACTGGGCTGTATTAAGATTCTGAAACAGCAACACGACCATTTTCTCAAACATCTCCCCTAATTTAGACCATTTAGGCGGCTTCCTGTTTTGTGCTGTTAACAAGGAAGCGCTGTGCAAACACCTCTCTGCATTACGCCTCGTGCACAGCTGGGGCTGTTTCCCCTGACAGGTTCCTGAGTGGAAACCCGGCTCTGGACGCAGGAGCACTGTCAGGCTCAGGGTCGAAAAGCCGAGTTACTGTCGAAAAAGACGGAGCCCACGTGACTCCCGCCAGCACGTAAAAGCCGAGGGCGCTTGCATGGCCCGGGCTTCCCTCTTTACAACATAAAGTCCAAAAGGCGTTGTTCTTACTGAGGAAAACTGTATCCGGTCATAGAAACCAACAGGTGGCAATAAAGGTGAATGGTTCTCCCTGGGCACGAACACAGAAATGGGAGCTCCAACGTGGAGAAATATTTAGAATACAAAACGTTACATACTATAACATACACTGAAACACGCTGTTATGTGTAATATATAAATACTATTATGTGTAACGATCCTACATAGTCTGTAATACTACAAACTATAATATATGTTCTATAATAAAGGAGAGAGAAGCAAAAGATCGTTCAAATTAATAGACACAGTCTTTACACTAAAAACTCCCAATAATTTAAATTGTTTAACTGCCAGGATGATAAAGCGGGACACAGACGAGGTGCTCGGCGAGGCCACGAGAGGGCCGAAAGCCAGGGAGGAGTCTGCTCACCTGTCACTTTGGGGATGCCCTGCAGGCGAGGGACGGGCAGGGCCACCACGAGTCCCAGGCTGGTGCCAACCATCAGCAGGCCATGGCAGACGAGCAGGCTGGTCACAGACAGCCGCTGTTGCCCTGCAGGGACAGACAGACAGTCTGAGGCCCGTGGGCCAGGTGCCCCATGTGCTGCCTGAAACTACGACAGACCTGGCCCCAGACAGCAAGACTCCCAGGGACCTGCGTCACTGGAGCGCTAACCACGGCCTGCACGTCCGTCACCTGGATGAGAAAGACAGGACCAGACAACGGGAAGGTGCCCTGGGGCAGCCCCTGGGCAGATGCCTGGTGGGGCCCCATCAGCTCTGCCTCACGCGGGCTGGCACCTTCAGAGGTGAATCAAATGCCCTCGATTGTCTCTGCAAACATTTACTTCTGGGTGGTGCAGCGCCAGAGCCCGGAGGCGTATGCGCACACACATGCACATGCACATGCATCAGGCACAAACGAGCACGCGCACATACACGCACACACTTGGGCACATGCACCCAGGCACACACATGCTTGGGCACTCACACATGAGCACATGTACACGGGCGCACACACACGTACACAAGCTGGTTCTGTGTCCGCAGGACACACCTTTGCAGATGACAAACAGTATGTATAAAACTTGACTATTTTCGTTCGGAAGTTCTTTTGAAAGTGATCTTCTATTCCTCATAAATGTGTCACCTGTTTGCGTGTAAACAGGATTTGACTTCTCACCATTCCCAGCTTTGACGTCTGTGCTACATGTTATGAGAATCTGGGAAACTCTGCTACGCCTGGAACTCACTGCCCCCACCCAGGACATAAATCAAAGGAAGCAGGCAGGTCAGGCTGCTGGTTAACACAGGGTTAACTGCTGGTTAACCAGCTGCTGGTTAACCCAGGACGGCAGCAGGAGCCCAGGGGACATGAGCCCACCTCGGGTTGTGTTCCCTAAGTCATAAACATCTGGTTTAATTTGCTGAATTCCCCTAAGATATTATTGCTGGTATTGAGGGAAATTACACAATAGAAATGTTGACCTTTCGACTTGGTTACATCACCCCTGAAGACATTAGCTCAGGGGGACACTGAGGGCCGATTTAACACAAGGTCTCCGCGCTTTCCCCTTAAACATGCCCTTCTCTAAACACTGGACGAGGCAGGACACAGCTGGACCCTGAGGTAACTTTCTGGGACTGTCTGGGGCCCGATGGAGCTCCTCCCGGGCAGTTCTGTTCTGACCCTTTGTGGCTGAGGCCAGACTGCTGACCACAGGGCGGCGTCCACAACTGCCAGGGGCTTAGTGTGATGCAGTTCACGTCAGAGAGCACAATCCTCTGAGCACCGACTCCCACGGCGAGGGAAAGGCCAGCTCGGGTCACATGCCCCACGGGAGGCGGGTGTCAGCTGAGGAGGCACAGAGGCCCCCAGGTCACCTCCCAGAAAGGTGCCGGCTGTGTTCCCTGGCTCGGGAAGTCTCCATCGCTACGGCCCCTGGAGCTTTACCGTCCAGTGAGAGCTCACAGGACAGTTTCAGGTATTGTTGCCACACGGGTAACAACCCACGTGGGCAACCTCCAGACACCTCCCGACCGAGGTGCAGCCTCTGGGACCCTGGGAGCCACACCCAGTCTCCTGGTCCCCAGCTGCAGGGCCTCGCCCAGGGCCCAGCCTGTCAGGCTGAGGATGAGAAATCCTCTGCATCTGTGGCTATAAAATCTCACTTTAATTTGACTCTACACCAATCCAGAGTCGCCTGACAAATACAATGTCCCTGCCTTGATGGAAGTGAGCGTGTGACACCGTGAGACCGGCTGAACTCCCATCTCTGCAACCCCCTACCCCGACTCTGCACCTCCCCTCCACACTGCCCCCACCCCATCTCACTCACACCCCTCTCACC